TTTTTTTTTTTCCCTCAGACAATGGCAGGGGAAGATGAGTATGGTGTGGATGGGAGGGTTGAACTCAATAAGTAAAGGCTCAGTTTTGATGGGGCTGGCCTCTCCACCATCTGTGCCATTGGAGTAAGTTTCTAAATGTTCAAAAGAAATTTGTGAGGCTAGATTCCCTTCAGTGGCAGGGCCTCATATATGTTTTTCCTTGGGAAAGATAAACTTTCCAATGAAAGGAAGAATTCTCTGGCTCTCTCTTCATTGTTACTCTTTTTGGGGGTAAAACATAGCTCCTATCTGCCAAATTTCCACCAAGACTCAACTGCCATTCTTGACCAGTAACTATAATCCGACCCTTTCCAGGGTGGTTTGACAGGATGTAACTGGATCTTGAATGTTGCTTTACTTGAAGCACAGCTATAACTGAGATTTCTAGGGTCCTGAAGCCTCTGCTTTTAATAGTAAATTCAACAGAAGCTCAGGAAGGGGGTCTGGTGGAAAACATCCCCTTGGTCTCCCCTGTGCATAATATCTATAACAAATGGTGACTGGATCTAAAATCATGTTGTTGTCTCATTAATTTTTTAAGGTTCCAACTTCTGAGGACACTGGGAAAGGAGCAATTATAATTGTGAGGTCAGGATTTAGGACTGCCCACTGCAGTCATTCAGGCCCTTTCTCTCTGTATTATCTTCATTGCTTTCAGGCAAACACATATAAATCTGGCTGTTTTTGGATGGACAGCCCAGGCAGACTTGCCATGTAGTAATGAAGTAAACAACTAGGTTTTATTCCTCAGGAGAATATATCGATGAACATGGTGGCTGCCAAGTCTGCGATGCTTCGTGTGCCAAGTGCCGGGGGCCAACCCAGGAGGACTGCACCAGTTGCCCCCTCACAAGGTGAGTAGCCTTCGGTATCTTCTGGGTGTGGAAGGTCACAGGATGCAGGGTGGGAAAAGGAGGTGCTAACGAGCTCAGCAGCACCCCAGGGATCTGCGGGAAACAGGACCAACTTGTTCCCATGACACAGATATTTTCCTTGGTCTGGCCACAACCCACATCTGTACTATCCTTTCTCCATGATGCCCAATACCCTGTGCAAGGACCAGTTCCCTGGGCAGTACGAAGGCTTCTTCAATGATGAAGATGGTGGCTTCAGAGCCATCTTTCATGACTGGAATTTCATCCCTCAACCATCACTTCCATCTTCTGGCCAAATATCTACTCATTTCTAGAGTCAATTCAAGAGTGAACTGTCCTATGAAATGCCTCAGCATTTCAGACCCTTTTGAGTAGAATTAACCTTCTCTGTCTATGCCTCTTTGCTCTATATAAGCTTCCCACCAGGCACCTGTTGAAGACATTTGCTTACATCTCTGTGTTAAACCATTTGCTCCTTGAGAGCCTCCCTTTTGTATCTCCAGTTCCAGTCAGAGTGCTAGGAAAACAACAGGCACCTAATAAATGTTTGATAATTGAGTGAATGAGGGCCTATCAAGCATGTGAGTGGCATTCTAACAAAGAGAGTTGGAAACTGCTGTGGTTTTGGTCGGTGCTCCTCTGATCCCAGCACTTGGTGGTTGTTGGCTGCCATGTTGGAATGAGTAGCCCATCATTGCCAGCTGTCTGTGGAGGAAGCAGGGTGTCTTCCCAGACCAGCAGGAAGGGGCTGTTCCACTGGCAGGTGCTTTGTGTCTCTAGAATGGACACTCCCTATACCAGTCATGTTCTCCTGATTAATCTTCATGACTGTAACATCTTTGAGAGCAGAAGCTGTGGTGTAGGTGCCCCGCTATTCCCCCACAGTAGTCAAAGGTGTGTGCTTTATTGAATCTATAATCAATAATCAATATCTTAGGTTTGTTTGGCTCTTCAAATATCTTCCTCAGAAAGAGGAAGGAAGAAAGGAAAACAATGAATAAAAAAAGAAGGAAGAAGAAAAGGAAGGAGAAAGACAAAGATAAAATAACAGTTTTAAGAATTCTCAGTGATAGTTGGGTGCTGTGGCACATTCCTATAATCCCAGTGACTCTGGAGCCTGAGGCAGAAGGATTTCAAGTTGGAGGCCAACCTGGGCAACTTAACATGACCCTGTCTCAAAATCAAAAAATAAAAAAGACTAAGGATGTAGCTCAGTGGTTAAATCCCCAATATCATTAAAAAATTACAAAATCAAAAAAAGAATTCTCAATGATAACCATTAGGACATTTTCAAGTATCTCTTTAAGAAAACTAGACTTCGAAACATAGCATTTTCTTCAAAGAAATTTCAAAGCATACTTTAAGATGGAGATAATATTATCAAGATGAGGTTCTCTTTCTCTTCTTACTCCTGACTACAGCAGCATCAAATCCCATTGCATGTTTGGACATCTTTTGAACTGGACGAACATTTTAGCATTGCTCGATAAGACCGCCCATCATCCAGTGCACAGTGCTGATTATCCCTGGCTCACCAGAAATGAGAAGTGAGAAAAAAAATCTACCATTATACATGGTCATTTTAAGAATCTGAGTCCATTGGGACTAGATCAGAGGTAAACATGCTGGGTTACTTCAGTCGTTCCATTTGTGAAGTATCCTGTGATCTAGCTTTTGAAGAAATAAAAGCAAGTGCATGGACCTTGAACCAGGATATCTTCTTAAGAAAATCTTTTTCCCCCAGGAACAATTTTCTTCTCATCCCTCTGAGCATGCCATTCCCCAGCCCCATTTCTCTTCTTTGATGTCAGTTAAATATGTCCAAGGAAGGGCACCATAGCATGGCAATGAGCTACCTGACTCCTTTTCTTATTTTCCTTGAAGGAGGCTGAGAAGGTGAAAAGAAAGCAAACACTTGGAAAATGATGATGTTGGCTTGTGTGTTCTGGAAAGAGCAGAAAAGTGTTTTCCTTAAGTGTTTTCTGAAGATTAGTCCTCATTCACTTTGTGCTGTGCTGCAACAGAATACTTGGGACTGAGTAATTATGAACAGAAGTTTGGCTGACTATTCTGGAGGCTAGGAAGTCCAAGTTCATGGCACCAGCACCTGGTAAAGGCTTTGCGGCTGGGTCATGCCATAACAGGTGGTGGAAGGAAAAGAGAGCAAGAATGAGAGAGCAAGGGGAAGACAGATTTTCTTTCCTAACTATCCCACCCCCATGATGACAGCATTAATCCTTGTGTGGGGCCAGATTCCTTGCAACCTATAATTATTGCTTATTAAACCCCACTTCCCAACACTGTTGCATTGTGAATTCAGTTTCCAACACATAACTTTTGAGAACACATTAAAACCATATAAAATGAAATCAGGTCCATTAAAGACTAGAAAAAAGCACCTGCTTAGCTGGGCATGAGGTTGCACACTCATAATCCCTGCAACTCAGGAGACCGAGGCAGGAGGATCACAAATTTGAGGCTAGACTCAGCAAGTTTATGAAATCCTATCTCAAAATAAAAGATAAAAAGAGGTGGAGATGTAGCTCAGTGGTACAATCCAAGGTACAAGCCCCTGGATTCAATCCAGGACTGCAAAAAGAAACAACAAAAATAACCTGCTGCTTTATATCCAACCTGAGATAAATGAAGAGTCCAGGGATCCTGTAGTGAGTCTCCCTGCCCTTTAGGTCACAGGTAAAGGAGGGGAAAGTACTCAGGGACAAGCAATAGTGGTGGTGAAACGTTAACACCCTATATCTGACACAAGAGTTGCACAGGTAGAAGAAGGGACACCCTAGAAAAAGTGGAACTATAGAGAACACAGCCTCTGCCCAGCTGTGGAAGAAGGAAGCAGAGTTACGGGTAGAGAATAATCTCCCTCAATCTCTCTCCTTTGAACCTCAGATCTCCTGTGAATGTTTCTCCTTATCTGAAACTAACTGGAGGCCAATGAGAAATACAGCTTATCTGTGAGGAAAATTGAGCTTAGGATGCTGTATGAAGTGGGCTCACTTCTAGGCAAAGGACAGAGAAATGCAGAAAACAGATCTGTGTTGGGAGTGAGAGGAGACAAACAAAATACCCGAGATAGTTGTTATAAGTTTCTTCTTGTTCTGAAGCCTTTGGATAGCTCTAGTGCTGGTAAAATAAAGATAATCTTCAAAGAGTTTTCATCTGGGAGAGGAATGTTAACATTTGTCTTGAAGGTTTGCTTCAAAACCACATGCAAGTGAAGTAAATTGGTGGAGAGAGAGATGAAATAAGATTGGCCAGGCCTTGATGACTGCTGAAGCATTTGTACTGAGTGATGAATGTATTGGCTGGTAGGAGGTTTACTTTTATATATATATATATATATAGTGTGTGTGTGTGTGTGTGCCTTTATATATGTTTAAATTACTCTATAATAAAATTTTAATAAACAAAAGAATTTAACTAAAAGAATTCAACCCTAACGTGGTTTTACAGGAAATCCAATTAGAGAAGTCGTTTCTGCACCCTGTAGTTTCCCTTTGCATGTCTATAAACCTTTGGGTTTAATTCCTTGAAGACAACTGAAAACATGAAGGAATCAAGTGCCCCCTTTGCCACTGTATTTACCATGCAAACATCTGAAATGCTGTGGCCATATGGCCCATGTTCATTTCTAAGCCCATTCCCGAAGGAGGTATAGAGTCAATGAATAAACTAAAAACATTTGAAAGTTACCTCTGTTCTTATCCAGACTTAAATATTTTTATTTGATCTGCTTCAATGAATGCAGAAGAAATTTTTCTCAAATTTCATTCCGTTAGACCATTAAAGCACCAAGAAATCACATTAAGTGCCTTTGTCATGGCTTTAATTAGGCCAAATCAACAATCAGCACAAATTCTGATTTGCCATCTCCACTGTTACAGTTCACATCACACGTGCACACAGGCACACAACCTGGGGGTTTCTGGAATACTCAGCTCCAATGCTGAGATCATCTGTCCCAGCTCATTAGCTCTTGGTTCTACCTTATTCCTCCTTGCTATTAGATCTGTTGGACCTGGAACAGGTCCTGTCTATGAGAAGGTCAAGATCATGCATAAGTTGTGGGGAGAAGTTCTTCTGTAGAGATCAGCTTATCAGAATGTCTTTGGATTTCATGAATTGGATAACTGGTGGTCCCAGACATACCTTGATACTAAAGAAAAGTTTCATCAAACACATTTTCTTCTTTCATAGAGCCAAGTGAGGACTTTCTACTTTGTCTACTTTTCTGTAGACAACTGTGGCTATTTGAAATGGGACTTCTCTTCAAGTTTCTGAGCAATTTTTCTTGAGCAGGATGGAAAGTGAAGGACAGTGATATAATTCATTGCCTTCACTTAAGCATGTCTGATTTCCTTATCTTTATCTTTAGAAAGAATCATGCTTTCACAAACATTGGGTATGTTGCTTTTGCTTTCCTCAGGGTGCAAGAGGAGGAGGTGGCTTGACACACAATTATGTGCTTGAAAGTTTCTTAAAATCAAATCAGAAGTCCCCTTTCCTAATAAAAAGGGAAGGTTGTGCCTTCTGCTTCCTCCTCTGTCTGGTGAGGTTTAAATGGTCCCTATTAAATCAAATTACCTCTCCCAAGAGAAATGACTTCCCCAAAATCAAGCTATCATCTCTTCCTAAAAAGAACACAATAATGATGTGTTTCACATCCTTCTGAACTGAAAAGATTTAGCATGAAAATGAACCCCTAGATTTCATTTGCCCTTTTTTTTTTTCCTTTTCAGCAAAGCATGGAGTAGCTTCCTTTATTCAAATCCTCAGAAAGCTCTTCTGCAGATTTTCTTATAGGGATGTTGTTGGTTTTGTTGTTGCTGTCATTTTTTAACTAGTCCCATCCAAATAATTCCTTGGGAAAAACATCTCCTAACTCAGAAATCAGAGCCAGAGTGGGGCTGGGATATTCCCGTTGGGCATCAGAACCACCAGTTTAACATCTGAGCTCGGACAACAGGCACCTCAGTCTGCTCCATGGTGCAGAGGATGGGCTTTGACAAGACAGCCAGTTGTGGGTGTCTGTTTAGGGTTGGGACTCCACGTACTTCTCTGCGTCAAAAGGATTGTTTGGTCCCCGAATCAAAAGGCCTGGGCAACCAGGACAAGTGACCTTTTGTTAAGTCACTGGCTTAAATCCCAAACTGATGTAAGTGACACAGATGGTCAAGATATGGGAATGAACAAGACAGAGGATCACTTAAGTTGCAGAGCCCCAGGCTAATTTCTTCCAACCCTTGGATCGAAGTGGTCCACTCTGCCATTCAAGGTTGGTTCCAGGTCTGGGAATAGCAGGGTTTAGACAAGTGCCACCCCGGGACCAAGTTGCTCAAGGTCTACACCTGGCCTTTTGTGTGCTGTCTGGCCTGAGTGGAGGAAGCGGTAGAGAGAGAAGGAAACCTTCCCTTTTCTGTACAGGCCCAGTCAGCTCCCGCAAGCCTGGATGGCAGCACTGTGCCCTTAGGGCCATGCACACACTGTGTACTCTGTTAACCTCCAGATGGACACAGTAGGTGCACTCTAAGGAAGCTTTAATAGACTCCAATCTGGCATCACCTGTATTACTTGGAAATCACTCAGCAAATTCCTGTCATTGAGGATTGATTTTCAAAGTATTCTCTTACATGAGCCAGCAACCCCACTATCTGTGTATAGCCCAAAGAAATGGAATCAGCATACCAAAGAGAGGCCTGCATGCTCATAATCATTATAGCACTACTCACAATGGCTAAGATATGGAATCAATCTAGGTACTCATCAACAGGTGAATGGACTTAAAAAAAAAAGTGCTATATATAGCGCCTTTCGACCATAAAGAAGAATAAAGTCCTGTCATTTGTAGTAAAATGAATGTAACTAGAGGATATTATGTTAAGTGAAATAAGTCAGACATGAAAAGACAAATATTGCATGTTTTCATTCATATGAGGAAGCTAGGAGAAATTTATATGAATGTAGAATAGTAATTTCTACAGTCTGGGAAAGTTGGGGGTTTGGTGGATAAAGGACATTTATGGTACCAAACATAAATAGAAAGAATAACTTCTGGTGTTCCTCAGCACAGTGTGTGACTACACTTCACCATAATATACTATATACTTATATATATGAAAATCTAGAGGAGAGGAGCTTGAAGACTCTACAAAAAGAAATAATAAGGAGTTGGAGAGGTTAATTATTCTGACTTGATCAGTACATGCTATAGGCATGTGTTGAAAATCTCACTATATCAAATTAATAGTATAATTAATACATGTTAATCAAAAAAGCTACATAAATAAATAATCAAAGGTTTAAAACAAAATTATGCTCTCTGAACCAGTGGTGTTAGCATTACCTGGGAATTTGTCAGAGATGCAAATTCTCAGTTTCTTCCCCCAAGACCTCCTAAATTAGAAACTCTGGAAGTTGAGATTCCAGCTCACTTCATCTATTCCCATTACCTACCTGACTCTAACATTTATTTGATCAACATCTTGTATTTTTCTTAGCAAAATTCTTGAATACAATTGACTTAATCACATTTCTTCTTATAACTACTTTGTCAAGAAAAATGACACAAAAGCATGAAAAACAATGACATGATGTATATATTATATGTATATAAAACCAAAGATATTAGAAGTCAACATGCAAAGCCCTTGTGGATGTTCACAAGCATGGTCAGAAAACAGAGACTGTAGGATCCCATATATCAGAAAATACTTTCAAAAAATGATGTTCGGAATCAGAATTCATTAATTATTTACAATATACACAGGCCAAATTTATAAGTAGCACCTATTCTACCCTTCAAGAGCCCTTGGAGCTGACATTTCCCTTGCCCAGTGTGGGTAGGGTGTTAACTAAAGGAAGAATATTTTCTCTAAGACCTCTGCATTCAGAGGTCCATTTAGCATCTTGAAAGTTCAGAGACCTCCATCTGACTGCTGACTGGATTTGGCCAGAGTCTACAGTATGGGTTTAATCCCTGTGGGTACAAGCTAGTTTATTTGGAACCAAATACAGGATCAGATCCCCAGCCAGCTCCTGGCATGTCTGCCGTTGGACCCAAGTCTCAGGCCAAGGATGGGTACATGACTAATATTTTGCATGTTCTAAGATGATCAGTCCCAGGCAACCCTCTTGTTTCTGGAACAATGAAATCCAATCTGTGCAGTGAAACATGAATACCACATGTTCCAATACTTGGGGCCTTTCTGGGAAGTCACCCTGATACATTCTAAAAGTCTGCTTTTCCTCTAGGGTTTTTGATGATGGCCACTGCATTTTGAGCTGTCCCTTGTGGAAATTTGAGTTTAAGAGCCAATGCCATCCATGCCACCACACCTGCCGAGCCTGCCAAGGAAGTGGACCTTCCAACTGCACCTCGTGTGGAGCAGGTGAGGGAGCCGCTGTATCCTGCCCTACCTCATCCCTTCCCTTCTCCAGCCCACCTCCTTTGGTCTGACATAGAAGCCTCATCCCTGGGGTTGAGGGTTAAAACTTGACAACTCTTCCTTAAAGAGCCTGTACAACTCTGAAACCTCTTCTTGTTGTCAGAATGTGAAAACATTGTTCCCATTATGATGGATGCTGACTCATTGCCCCGGAGGGGATGGGAGAGGAAAACTAAGATCAGGCTTTCTCCAGAGAAGGAGAAAGGACATATCAACTGGATGTCAGATATAAGATAGGGAAGCAGAGATATGTTGAGGCAAAGGTAAAAAGCTAGAGAATTAAGGAGGCTATTTGGTCTCTAAAAGAGATAGCATATTGAGGCTGTGTCAGGGTCTTCTCAAAGCTGAGCTGTGCCATTAAGATGTTGTCAGAGCCCTGCAGAAACAAGGAAATCATTTCAACTCATGACAAATGTGACCTTTTGCGTCCCAGTTTGAACTCCCTTCTCCTGGTCTCAAAGGTCCTCTGCAGTTTGACCTTTGATCCCTCTAGCCTCATCTCACATGTCTGTCTGTCCTCTAGTTTGACCTCATGTGAGCCAGATTCATATTTCATTTGGCCCACATAATACTTTTAAGATGTGAGCCAAATTTAAAATTTGGGAAATTTCAAATGAAAACACAGTTTTTGTTTTTGTTTTTTTTTCTTCTTTTCTCTTGAAAACTTGGAAGATCTGACTACACTGGTTCTACATCTCTCAAAGAGTTTCCTGGAGCCTTAAAAAGGCTGCTCTCAATTTCTCCACAATTTCCACCATTTCTGAGCATCTCACTGGTACTGAGACTGTCAGATATCATCATCATACTTCCATCATTTTTCTGGTGAAAGAGAATTATTTTATCTTTATTCTCACTTACAATAAAACCAAGAAAAATGAAGAACAAATTGAGAATGTCATGGATTCACAGGGATACAGGAGATAAGACATTCTTTGAATAAATTAAAAGTATTGCTTTGTGCTTCATATGTAAAAAAATACACATCTATGTCATTTTTATCTCTAGACTGTCACATGCCATTTACTTCCTCATTTATAATACAGTGCTAACAGTTACCTCTTCCATACTTATGAAAGTTAAATGAGATTGAATGAGATGAAATAACAAAGCATTTAGAGCAGAGAAAGACATAGGAAGAACTCAATGATATTAGCTTTTCTTATTTTCATTTCTATTCTTGTTATTGTTGTTGTTATTGTTTTAATCCACTTACTCCTCTGGGCATTTGCGTTTCTCTAGCCTGTGAGACTTCACTTGAGGTGTTCCCACTCATTGTATGGTGACTCCCTACTATTCCACCATTTCAACACCATTTCTGCAGGGAGAGCCTCCCTGCTTGCCCAGGAGGACCCCTTCACAGGCACACCTGGAGTCCTCTACTTCCTGTTTACCAGCCTCTTCACATTGCATGTCTATCTTATCCATAAAACCCTATGCCCCATAAAAGCAATGAATTGTTCCTGCCTTATTTTCTGCTGTATTTTGATCATGAACACAGCCTTCAACATGTGGAAGGTATGCAATAAATAACTGAATGAATGAAAGGTTAAGTGGAAAGAACATTAAAACCAGCAGTCAGAAAAATTGGGTTCTTATCCCAGTTTTGTTACTAACTTGAAGACACTAAACCAATCAATTCACTTTTTTCAGTCTCTAGTTATTTGTTAAAAAAAAAAAAAAAAAAAAAAAAAAGAACCAGGCACAGTGGTGCATGCATGTAATCCCAGCAGTTTGAGAAACTAAGGCAGGAGGATCACAAGTTTAAAGCCAGCCTCTGCAACTTAGTGAGACCCTAAGCAACTTAGTGAGACCCTGTCTCAAAATAAAAAATAAGAAAAGGGCTGTGGATATCGCTCAGTGGTTAAGCACCCTGAGTTCAAGGACTAGTAGCAAAAAGAAAAAGAAAAGAATAAAGAGAGAGAGAGAGAGAGGGAGAGAGAGGTAAATGGGCATCTAAAATCATCTTAACATCAAATAAACCAATAAATATCTATACAAAGCACAAAATTAGAAGTTTAGATGTTAAACAAATGTCTAGTCTTTTAAGCATCTTTTAGCTACTTGGACCAATCTACACATTAAAAGGTTTTGACTTATATTCTGTATTAACTATTTGAAAGGCTGTGTTTAACCCAGTATCTTCAACATTTATTGTGTCTCTCCCATGTCCAAGTTCCTGCATGTTGAGAGCTGTGAAAAATATAGCAAAAGACAACATGATACTCAGCTTCAAGGGGTTTACTATCTAACAAGGATGTTGTCCCCCTGTAATACAAAACAAGAAAATATCAGACAAAGCCCACATCAATGGTAGGAATCCTACCACAGGTCAGAGAAGAAACCTCACTTCCCGCTCTAGTCAGCAGAGAAGGGTATTGCTTAGCAAGCCATGTTCTCTTCCTAATAAGAGCTTGGTGTCCCTAGTCCAAGGATTGTTAGCACAGAAAGGATATCAGAGACCTTGATGAGACAATACAAAAGGTAGATAATTCAACTGAAAAGGTTTTCCATATCTATCAATGGAAGCTTTAATAAAAAACTGAAAATTCAGCTGGGCTCAGTGGCGCATGCCTGTAATCCCAACAGCTTGGGAGGCTGAGACAGGAGGATTGCAGGTTCAAAGCCAGCCTCAGCATCAACGAGGCACTAAGCAACTCAGTGAGACCATGTCTCTAAATAAAATACAAAATAGGACTGGGGGTGTGGCTCAGTGGTCAAGTGCCCCTGGGTTCAATTCTCAATACCAAAAAAAAAAAAAAGCTGAAAATCCTATGTCTGGGGAGTTCCCCCTAGCCACACAAGCCTCTCTCACCAACTTGTAGAGATTTAATCTCTTATTGAATTGCAACTTCATTAAGTCTTTGGTATGAATCCTTATGGAAATGCAGATGTCCAGTTATGTTGGTGAAAATTCACTCTAAATTCTCCTCCAGTTCATCCTCTACCAAACGAGACCCAGAGATAAATTAAACCAATTACAGTAAGCAAAATGTTGAAGTAAACTTCATAAAATTTATTTTCAGCTTTTCTTTCATCTTTTCTGACAGTACTTTTCCCTCATGCCCTCAACCCTCAACCTTCCTTCCCTCCTACAGACTTCAATGTCTTCACACTAGTCTACCTTCTCCTATAACAAAACCAGCTGTTAAGAGATTCTCTGATAAACAGATATTTACCCTTTGAAACACCTGAATGCCAAGCTGAACCTCTTTCAGAGTTTCTTTGTATTTTAACTCTTACCTCACAACATCCCATGAAAGGTTTTGAAGCTAGGAAATATGTGAGCCCTTCTATTGCTAGAATCAGCTACATACTATTATCATAATTCATATTTGGAGACCCTGGGCAAGTAGCCAAATATTAAGCATGGTTTTTAAATTGCTGAATATTTGTAATTATCCATAACTAAGCAAGCTGGCATACTGCTTGGGCTTTAGAAGTGTGACTAAATTGTCACATAATCCTGGAGCAAGCCCATGGGGAGAGTTGACCATTGTCAAGGCATCTAAGTGAGCTCTCTTTGTAGGGTCTGTGTGTTTTAAAAACTGAGGTTCTTCCAATCTCTGTCCTTCAAACCCATATTATAACACCCAAATGGGTCCAAATAATAAACCCATGTCCAAATAATAAATATGGAATTGAAGAACATTTACTATAATATCTGAGCCCATTGATGTTAATTTTTAATTTTATGGTGGTTGATTCAATTGGCTATATGGAAGAAATTGAACACTGCCAAATATGAATTCACTGTCCCATTCATTCAATCATTCAACAAATATGTATTTAGGACTTCCTGGATTCCAGGCTGCCCCTAAGACTCTGGATCCTGAGTTGATGTCTCAGGAAGGCATAGGGATAAATGTAGACCAACTACAGGACAGAGAAGAGGTAGGTTCCTTACTGTTGTCCCCCACATCTTCCCATCCTACATCCGAGAAGTTGTGGTGTTCTGAAGAGCAAGACCATTTGTGAAGGAGTCACGGTGGAAATGGAGTTTGGTAGGGTTTCATGAAGTCGCTGGGAACATAACTTGTAAGATTGACACTCTTGTGATCTCTTGAGATACCAGGTTCCACCAGATCAGAGTGTCATGCTCCATTACATTGGTCTGTAGATGTGTTGTCACTGGATGCACAGTACACACTCTCAAGCACTCCCCTTCACCTGCAGAATAAGGTTCTAAGTCTAACTTGAAAACAACTGATACTTTTTTGCCCCACCTCTAAGGATTTCTCCTTTTTTTCCCTTTGGTCCCACAGGAAGCACCAGATTTCAGGTATAAAATTACAATGAGCAGAGATGGCTTGAGAGTCCATAATTCAACAAAGCATTTGTAAAAGTATATTTAAACTAGGGCACTGCTTAAATAATAAATATTAGGGCAAATCACTTGAAAGTGGTCCAAAGGCTTAAGGGCAGCCTGGCATACAGAAGTTCTAAATATATATTTGTTAATGATGAATGAATGGGTGAGTAGATTCATATTTGCAATATCCCAATACTCGTCTACAGATAAAAATAGTCAAATGTCAGAAATTATGTATGGTTCAATCTGATATTACAATGACTGTCAATTTCTGCTTGCAACAGGGAGGTTAGTGCTATATTTATGTACAAATTTGGCAGCCTTGTATCTTAAAGGTGAATGGTTTTGGATTTCCATGTGTTAGATTATTTGATGAGTGATCACTAGAACCTGGTTGGTTATTCTGGGTAACACAGATTGGCTGCTTTTCCAAGGAAGGGCCATATGTGAAATCTGATTCAGAGAAGATGTAAACCCTGAACATACTCAGAATAAAAACTCTAGAAGGCTGGGAGAAGACCTCTAGGTTCATCTCTACTGTTAGTGTTGTATTTTTATTTGCACCTGATTATAATTGTTTGTAGCTAATTGTAATGTTTTGTAACTGATTGATTAGATTTTTCTACTTCCTCTAAGAACAAATGTTCATAGTCTGTCATTCTGTGGGTATTGCCCATTCTTTCCTTACAGAGCCCAAAGTAGACAGAAGTCAGGAACCCTCAGGAATGCATGTAAAGGAGCAAAGAGGTGTGCTTGATCTACTGCTTCAATGAGGCCGTCATTATGATGTCTTTGCAAAAATTCAGACCTTAATTAACACAAGCACGTGATTTTGATAATACTTCCAAATCACTTTAAAAGACTGAACTTATATAAAGCAAGTCCATCATTAAGCATGCATTTATTCCTATGGGATCTCTGTAACCTCCCAGGTCTAAGAGATTCCACAGATACCAAAAAAGCCCTTGGGAAAGTGAAGCACATTTTGAATTGTAGTTGTTCACATGGTTTGTGGTTTTGCAATGACATCCCAAATAGTAGTTGCTGTTCATTCAAATATATAAACTATTGCAAAATGATTCCCTGCAAGGAAAACTTTTCAATGACAAGGATATAGATACTGCACTTTTCATTAAATCCAGTCTTATACTTCTGGTCCCTTAGGAACAAAAGCACTCCGTCGTTTCTTTTTTTAATAAAATGTTCTACATTATATTAGCTTCATGGCTGATCTTGTATATTTTCTCTCTTTCCGTTGCCCCTCTAACTGGTCAGACAAGCATGGCCGAGAGCACTTCTTGCATCAGGGTGAGTGTCGAGAGAGCTGTCCAGCTGGCCACTACTCTGCCAAGGGGCACATCTGCCTGCCCTGCCCAGACAACTGTGAGCTTTGCCACAACCCACGTGTCTGCACAAGATGCATGAGCGGCTACTTCCTCGTGCCCACCAACCACTCCTGCCGGAAGCTGGAGTGTGGACAAGGTGAGGCTATTCTGGTTCCCCTGCCCAGTACCAGGAAATGGGAGGACAGTCTGTACCCCTGTATGTCCTGGAGACTTAAATTACCCCCTAATAGTAAAATCAGCACTTAGGAAGACTGAATGCTTCCATATAATCAATGAGGACAATAGTAGCTGCCCCTCTCTCTTCCCCCACGTCTTCATCCTAGGTTTTCCCAGATTCAGTCTAAGCACAGAGAAACACAGCCAGTCACATAGAAGTCATTGGGTATTTGCAGAAGGGATATGTTAGAGAAAAAAATTAGATTAGAATTCAAAAGTCTTGGCCAACAGTTTTCTTCTTCCCAATTACCAAGTAGGAAACCCTGGTCAAAACAAATCCAATTTGTTATGCTATGGTGCCTCTGTGAAGGGGACAGCAAAGCACCTGGTTAGAAATGCTGTGAGAAGCCAGTGAGAATCAGCCTCCCTGATCTGAAACCACTTGAAGATATTAAAACGGACTGTGAATCATATCTGTTATTGTTTATTGCCCAATTTGTTATCTCCTATGAGAAGAAGGAAATTAGAAAACAGCACTTATAGGTTTGGCTCTTTTCTATGTAAGAATGTCACAGACTATTGCTCCGTCTCTGTGTAAGAATTATGCCTGGCGTGGTGCTGAAACAAGCACCAACATGTTTTTAGAATAATTAAGATAGGAATTTCTATTTCTGCTTAATGTTCATGAAGGTAGTAAAAGATTTTAAAAGATTTTTCTTTTAATATGTAGGGCAGGACAGATAAAAAGAAAGACAGAGCCTGTTGATTTATACACCCAATTCTATTTCCCCAGAAGCAGTGCTGATTTCTTTCATAAAGAAAGAAAGAACACCAGCTTCACTTCAAAACCAGTTCCAGGCATGTGGCCCTACTTTGTTGTATTTGTACCAGTCAAGCTGATTCAATCTATTGAAGCATTAGAAGAAGATAAAAAAGTGTGTGGCACATATATTGTCAAGGATGGCTTTGGATTTTATAACTGCTCTATGATTTAGTAAGCTACATGCCACCATATTTTCATAGCAATCGATGTGTCTCCACTCAGTGGAAATGAGTTGTATTTTCACTCCTCTTGCGGTGCAGGTGAAGTTCAAGACTCAGACTATGAAGAATGCTTGCCTTGCGAGGAAGGATGTCTGGGATGCAGCTTGGGTATGTCACCTTCCTTTGTTATTTAAAGAGTTTAAATAGCTTTGTCATTTTCAACACACCCATATTCTGTTCCAGCTTCAGAAAGAACTCTTCATCTTTGTCATTCTTAGTGTCCCCAGACATATCCATTGAGGAGGCTTTCTTGGATACCGATAGGGTCACGTGGAGCAATGTTTTTGAGATAATAGATAGGCCTTTGGTCTTAATGAAAATCAAGTTTAAGAAAGGACAGTAGTATCACCCTATGACCCAACTATACCACTCCTCAGTGTTTATCCTGAGGAATTAAAGTCATCATACTATAGCCAATTATGCATACCCATGTTTATAGTAGCACAATTCACAATAACCAAGTTATTGAACCCACCTACATGTCCATCAGTGGATGAATGGATAAAGAAAATATGCTATATGTTCACAAAGGAGTTTTATTCAGCCATAAAGAAAAATGAAATTATGTCATTTTGAAGGAAAATGGATTGAACTAGAGATTATTATGTCAAGTGAAATAAGCCTCAGAAGGGCCTACATTGTCTTTCATATGCAGAAGCTAGAGAGGAAAAAGAAAAATAAAGGTGTGGAGGCTGGGGTCTAATAAAAATCAAAGGGATGGGGCTGGGATTATGGGTTCAATCCCTAGCACCAAAAAAAAAATCAAAGGGAGATCAGTAGAAGAAAACAACTGGGAAGGAAGGAGGAGAGAGTGGTAGGAAGTAATACTGGCCAAATTCTATTGTTATATTGTGGGCATGTATGAATATGTGACCAAAAAAAAATTCCATCATTATCTACAACTATAACAGACCAATAAAATATGTGGAAAGAAAAGAAAGAACAGTGGCACCTTTCTCTCTGATTGTTAGCTAGTTGGCAGCTCTCTCTCAGCAACCACATTGCAAGATGACTGATACTCTTCCCTTCTCAAGGTGACAGATTTGAAAGACAATGAAAAACCCAAGCAAAAAGATACCAACTTACTCTCACTCATCCAGTGTGTGCAACTCAAAGCTTGTGGGAAGAAAAAATTGGGAGGTTTTCCTTTATAGAATGACTCTATTGCTTGGGTCCAGGACAATCCTTAGAGACGGTGGAGTTGAAATCCCTGACATGTTACAGAAACCAAATGTAATTCTACCACTCATATCAGTGGTGTCTCCTTTCTCTTTCTCTCATGCTCCTGGTAGAGGAGTGATGTGGACAGTTTGTAGCACACAGCACCACTGGACTGCATGCAAAATGTCAAAGAGGGATATACCACCAAATTCCAAGATCATATCTTAATGTAAGTTTAGACAAGATATAGAAACCAACTAAAGATCACTAGAGAGAGTGACAAGTGTATTCTAAATGCTGATAATTGTCTTACCTTCAATTCAAAACTTTTTCTTGATTCATATTCTCTATGTATTAGGACTTACATATTCTCAGATTGACTTAGTTGAACTCAATTATGACCATATTTCTGATCCCTCTGTTGATCTCTCCAATAGAGAGATCTTTTCCAAGTTCCCTTTATTTGTAAATTGGTGGTAATACTTTTTCAGCTGACTGGTGTGATATCTGGTATGTATGCCTCTTTCTGCCTAGACATTAAATGACTTGAGAATAAGCTCTGTGACTTATATGCTCAGCTCCCATAAGATTTAACAGCATGCCCAAGATATAATAAATGCACAATTATTGTACAAATGTCCCTGACTTATGATGGTTTGATGTATAAAGTTTCAACATTATTTTGGTGTGAGGGTGGTACCTATTCAGTAGAAACTGAACTTAGGATTTTGAATTTTGCTCTTTTCCTGGGCTAGCAATGTGTGGTACAAAACTCTCTCATGATGCTGCTGGGCAGTAGCAGCAAACCGCAGGGCCCAGTCAGTCACGTGATCACAAGGTAAACAGCAAACACAGTATATGTTGCCAGTGTTTTCAGACACAGGTATTTAATAAATTACATACAACATTCAACAGTTTATTATGAAATAGCCCTTGTGCTAGATGATTTTGCCCAACTATAAGCTAATGTATGTTTTCTGTTTAAGTTAGGGCTTAGCTAAGTTAGGTAAGTTTAGGTTGGGAACTTTAAATGCATTTATAACTTAACATTTTCAGTTTAGAAGAAGTTTATCAGGAAGTAACTTCATTGTAACTAAAGGAACGTCTGGATGAATGTTTGGTGGATTGAATTTGAGAGTTATCCAAATTCAAAACAGAGATAAATGGCTTAGGAGCCCCAGGGATTTAGATTTTATGTTTTCTGTAATCAAAATTTGTATATGATCCAAGGAGAAGAGAAAAAAATATAGAAAAATAGGTGATTATTTTTTTCATGGAATACTAGAAAGATTTAAAGAAAACATGTATTTCATAATATTAATAAGAAAGTATATGAACTTAAAAGACACAAACAATTTACTGTTGATTTTATTGTGATTCTTCTTGTGAAGCAAAACATCATCCTTTGGAGAGAACTTAGCTTTATTCCATTTTAATAATGTAGATTTTTCTGCGGACCAAGTCTAGACCATCTCTAGAGGAATTAGAGAAGTAAAATCAGCTACTTTGAGACATTTTATCTCCAATATGTAATAAATAGTTATTGGGAACCTTGAGATATTTCCTGGGTTTTTTATTCCTTTCCAGATATTTCGTGCACTGTAGATTAATATTTGTCTTTTACGACTAATAATGAAAAACTTAAATTCCAGATTGATGGGCATTTTAATCTTATTCCAGGGTGGAGTTAGGTATTTGTCAATCCAAAAAAAGAGAAAGCTAAATCCACAACCAAAAAGTATTGTTTTGTCTGGAAGAAAATATTGAATTTGATATTCTAGGATGGAACAAGGGCGTTTTTATTATTACAGGGTTAGATTTCTTTATCAAGCTGTAAACAAACAGGATTTTTTATAATACTCTTATGTTTCAAGAGTATTTGATGTCAAATTCTTTGTCTTTTTCATCAGTGTCTTGAATGAAAATTTTAACAAAGATAAACTTAAGTATTCTAGACTGTATATTTTACTAATTGAGGGGGAAAGTAAATAGGGTAATTTTACCTAACTTTTTTACCTAATTTTTTTTAATCTAATTTTGCCTAATGTTTTTTAATTTGGAGAATGCAGTGATATTTATGACACTTAAGTTATAACCAAAGATTTGGGACCCATATCTATATCACCATTGACTTAATTATAAACTTTAATTCAAATTGCAATATGGCCTCTTTACTTCCTTACCTAATCAGTAAAAATAAAGATTACCATGCCTTTATTTTGACTCAGAAAGGGGTAATAAAAAAAAATCCATTAAGCTAGGTGTGGTGGCACACACCTGTAATCCCAAGCTATTTAGGAAGCTGAGGCAGGAGGATGGATTGAAAATTCAAGGCCAGCCTGTGCAATTCAGTGAGATTCTGTCTCAAAAATAAAATTTTAAAAATGAGATGGTATGCAGGTGTAGCTCAGTAGTTGATCCCTTGCCTAGCATTTGTGAGGCCCTGGGTTCTATCCACAGTACTACAAAAAAAGAGAAAAGAAAAAAAAAAAAAAAAGGAGTTGAAAACCCACTAATGTTTGTTCATTGAAATGAAATAGTATGGAAAAGCATACAGAATTTTTAAAATTTAAGTAATTGAAAAAAAAAAAAGTCATGTCAATTGAGTGACAAATAAAAGAACACACAGATACACCAAAAGAATTTAGAAAAAAAGGAACTCCTGAGCCCTGAGGTGGTCGAACACAAACAATTTCCAGGAAGATGAGACCTGAGATGATCATTGGAGTTTTGCAAGGAATTTATAAAGAGGAAAAAGCTATCCTCTGGAGGGTCTTTCAACTTGGATAATGCAGGAAAAAAGGCTTGGAGGAAAAAATTTCTGCCATGGATTTTAGGATGTTAAATGTACTAATTTTACAGAAGAAATAGTAAATATTAGGGAATAGTCAAAGAGAAATTTGGAGATGTGGTTCAAAACCAAAATTTGAATTCCAGACTAATGAGTTTAAAAGTATTCTGTGACTTAAAGGAATAATTGTAGGTTCTTCATAAAATGAGGGGGGGTCTGTTGGGAGTATAGTGCTTGCCCAGCATGGGACTGTAGTAGATACACCAGTGAGAAGGTTCCTTGAGAAAGTTGGGCACGGTGGTGCAGCCTATAATCCCAGCGGCTTTGGAGGCTGAGGCAGGAGGATTGTGAGTTCAAAGTCAGCCTCAGCAATTTAGTGAGGCACTAAGCAACTCAGTGAGACCCTGTCTCTAAGTAAAATACAAAATTGGGCTGGGGATGTGTCTCAGTGACCCTGAGTTCAATCTTCAGTTCTTCCCCCCAACACTAAAAAAAAAAAAAACTAACAGAGAAAGTCTGGTAAGAAGTACCTACAGCCTGATCTCAGTTGGTACCAGGAAGCTGTTGCGGAAAGCTCAGTCCTTGTCCCTGAAGCCAAAGGAAAAAGTCTTATTGTTTAGCTAGCAAAGGAGAAACACAGGGGACTCCTGTCCCAAAGGCTGAGAATCTGCCCATCAGCAGGAACAGGGGGCTGTTAAAGAGGTGATTCAAAGGCTACCTTCCGTGAGTTCTCTGTTGGAGTTGTAATTCACTTGTTAATTTGGGAGATAGTCATTTCTGAGATCTTCTGATACCATCCCCAAAGTCTAGATTCCTCAAGGACAGATAACTTTGCCTAAAAAGAGGATGAAAGGTAATCCTGTTTCCTCTGAGATTAGGGAGGGAGAGAGATTAAGGAGGAGCAGGGAGAAAGGAAGAGAAAGAAAAGTCCATTTTAAAAATAAGCTGCAGTGGCAGAACAGCAAGGGTTATATTCAATGCATAAAATGGACCAAGGTTACAAAGCTATGAAGAAAGAGAGGTGCTTTTTTAAAAAATCCCATTAAACAAACAGCCCCAAGCATAAGAAAAGAATTTTTATTATAATATGAGAATGCAAATTAAAACTACCATGAGATTCCATTTCTCACCTATCAGATTGGAAAAAATTCATGTT